AGATGAAACAGTTGTAATAGAATAAATAATCGGTTAATATTACACCCGAGGTCACCACTTACCTCCCACCAGAGGCAATGCGGCAATGCAATTCACATTGCTATAAATGTCCCTCTTCATCTATGGCCAAGCTCAAAAGTCAGTAAACTTACCAAGTGTCCTGGACTCTGTGGGATAGTCCTGATTATAGACCCTTGTAGCTTCTAATACTTGTGGATTCTTCAACAATCCACTTTTCAGAAAAACAATGACAAATGTGTCATTGAGCTAGCTTGTGACTGTGCGAGAATACATGCACCGTGCAAAACAACTTCTGCAGCAGCTTGTATTAACGCATGGCTCAATTGCTGGAAAAGTGGGTGCATATGGAAGCTCATGGAAATCCATCATAAATCCAACCACCCCCTCCCCCATCCAGAACCTGTGTCAACAAAAAATCAGGAGCTAAGTACTCCAGGACCTACTTGGAAACTAGAGATGATACCGGAGAAACTGACGGAAGCAAAGCACAGAGGGATGGACACAGGTTTCTTCAGGAAGGAAGAGATTCTTTATTGGATCACCGATCGGGACTCAGAGGGACTAATGTCACCAAAAATACAGCAAGTTCTGAGCCCTGAACAATAGTGCAGGCTTCCTATATAGGCACATAACTCCTCCCATATTAAGCTCCACCCGCACATTCTCTTGACCAATCATTACAAATAAGAATTAACTTCCTGCTTGACCGCATGGCTTGTCCAGCACAATGGAGGAGGGGAATACTACATCCTGTATTCTTGCACATGCTCCGTACACTACTGATCGTATCTTGCCTCGTGCAACCAACTGATCGATACGTCAGCATATGCACGTACACATGCCATGTGGTAATCTCGGCCTACTAAATTTATTTTTACCGAGATTCCACCACATTCCCCCCTTTGATGCCTCTTGATATTTTACAATTACTTGAGGCATCACTTAACCTTGGTTTACATACACCACAAGTTACCTTTGAACCAGACCAGACTTATCCTATGATGTGAATCTTCAACACTCATCTTCCTGCATTAGTTCTCCCTGATCTAGAGCCTTATATTTATAAATTGCCATTATCTGTGCAGCAGCCTTCCTCTCTGCTATATTTTCTATCAGGCTTTGCACAGACCTAACTACTAAGGGTATAAGACACGGCAGGAGTAGACACAACATTAAAATCAGTAGGACTCCACCTACCACTGCCTTAAGCCCTCCAAACCACTCATACCAGCTACCAAACCAACTACTTGGATTGTACCCTTTCCATACCTGAGTAGGCACATGCGCTAGTTTAACCATATGGCTAGTAAGCTCAGCTATTGCTTGCCCTTCGTCATCTATTTGAAGACAGCAATTGCTCAGGTTAAACTTCCCACATACACCTCCCTCTACTGCCAAAAGATAATCCAAGGCTAATCTATTTTGGTAAACTGCTGTCCTCATCCTGGTATTATGCTTCGCTAGAAGATTGAGCGCTTGTGATGTCTCGTTAGTAATGATCTCAACCACCGCCTGTAACCTTATAATGCGGTTGAGCATATAAATAGGGGTTCTATAACCAAAGGTACCATCCTCTGCCCACGTGGCTGGCCCATAATAATCTATAATACGCTGGGGAGGCCATTCATTATCTTCCCAGGCACCTATCTCTATGGGTCCCCTTTTCTTCCTATGATTCACATCATACACTTTAACACCTAAAGTCTCACCTGTTTCAATAGGCAACAAGAAGAAGGATGGTTTTAACATACCCAACACACATGCCCCTTCCCAGTCCTGTGGTAACTCCGAATAGGCCTTCTTACCACAGATCCAGTACAAATTCGCTGGGGCTCTCCAGTTAGATGTGATGGATAGATCAAACCATACGTCCTTTAAATTGGCATATCTTGCAAACGGGTTAGATGGTTCTGAGACATTTGAAGCCGACCACCAAGTTGTATTCTTTGTATCATCATCATAAGCTTTTTGCCCTAGACAAGTTAATTCTCCTACAGAAGTATTATACATCATTCCTTTCCTCGCTATGCAAACATAACCTATGATGGAGGTCTTCAATCTCCACTCAGATTTACCTCTAACACTCATATGATAGTCGGCTTGTGTAGATATTAATTGGTCAACTGCCTCAGAACCGGACATTACCTCCTTTGCTTCCCAAGGCCATTGGTCTCCCATGTTAGTACCTCCACACACATAGCAGTTGGTAACATTAAGACTACCGGCAATACTCTCGGCTAAATCAATGAACAAGTTTTTAGCATTATGGGGGATCTTATTATCTATGCTCATCTCTTCATAAAAGGAATGGTATACTTGATGAGTTTGGGAGGTTACCGTATCAGTCTCTATCCCTATAAACAATATTGTCCCAGGGTCTAAACCCGTCCCATATATTTGAAACCCAAATAAATTACCATATTTATCTAAGAACTTGTCAGGGTTACTTATAAGTATATGGATTGGATTGCATTCCATAGACTTACAATATGGATCAATAGGCAACTTAGTCACAATCATGTCCTTGTCTACTGTCTGTCCCCAAGTCGCCCACCCCACACAAGACCAATATGGGCAGAAGTTATAATCTCTATTTGGGCATCTTGGACTTACATATTTATTTTTACTACTGGGACAAATATATTTATCGTTAGACCCATACGTCCTCTCCCATCTAAGATCCCCACATACATTCCACGGCTTTCTACCACTTGATATTGCTTTACACGCATCAAATAGCAGAGCACCTGAAGAATATACGGATTCTAATACCGTCTTATTAATTAGGGTCCCCTGAGGATCTCCATTTCTGAGAGTCAACCAAATTGTACGGGGTTGATACTCAGGACTGAAGCACTTAGGTTCTCCTACTCCTAAATGACACACACTATATTCTATATTTAAGTATCTACATCTTGATACATCTCCTTTACACTCATATTGCGAATGCCAAATTAGGGTCTGGGATATATGGTTACCTGTTCTTGTAGTCTTAATGCATACCTCACAGCTAGGAGTGTCGGTACCTCTACCTTCCTGAATATAAAAATACACATAAATAAACATTATTAAAAATACATCTTTCGTCGTCATCCTCAGTCTTCGTCCGTGCGAAGGCACCTCAGCTTCCAGGATGTAAGGACTGCAGGGAATGGAGTTCTGCTCGTCTTCACAGGGGTCCCCTCAAGACTTTCCCTGACTTATACACTCGTTGGTGAGTGGACAGGCTTTATTATGGCCTTCTCACTCACTTACCAAGTCTCTGAAACAATAAAATTTGTGATCCACAAGGTTCCTCGTCACTCCGACTGAGTCGTGCGTTTTAACCGGATCTTGCAGGGATTCTCTGGATTTGCTGTAACTTGCCAGGAATCGGCTGCTGCTGGTTTAACCCTGGAGTGATGTATCCACGGAGCCACTTCGGCTACTTTTATCGCTGTAGGGGTAGACAGAAGAACAACATAAGGACCTCTCCACTTGGGCCCTAACGGCACATTATTCCACTCTTTAATCCACACTTGGTCGCCTGGGTGGTAACTATGAATTGGGGGATAAATATTCACAGGTAATCTATCTTGTACCCATTTCTGTACCTCCTCCATAGTCTTACCCAACTCTACAACCTGCTGCCGGGTAATTCCTTCTCCCAACTGACTCAAATCCCCCCTTAAGTTACCAAGCACGGGAGGTGGTCGCCCGTACATGATTTCAAAAGGAGAGAGGCCCATCCTTCTGGTAGGTGTACTAAGCTATGGGCAAGAGAACGTTCCACTTAAGTTGGGTTTCCTGACACATTTTAGCCAACTGATTCTTAATAGTTCTATTCATTCTCTCTACCTTACCAGAACTCTGGGGTCTATATGCCGTATGAAGCCTCCACTTTATACCAAGCATATGAGTCAATTGTTGTAGGCACTGATGAACAAAAGCTGGACCATTGTCCGATCCTATAGAGCAGGGTAGTCCATATCGGGGTATTATTTCTCGTAGCAGGAATCTCACGACTTCTCCTGCTTTCTCTGTACGAGTAGGACATGCTTCTACCCAGCCTGAATAGGTGCACACCACTACCAGAAGGTAGCGATGTCCACCCGATTTAGGCATCACTGTATAGTCAATTTGTAAATCGGACATGGGAAGTCCCCCCATAAACTGGACTCCTGGTGGCTTTACTGGTCCTTGTCTTGCATTATTTTTAGCACACGTTACACATCTACGTACAATGGCCTGAGTCAAGTTGGACAATCTTGGTATGTAGAAATGTTTTCTGAGAGATTCTTCTGTACTGTCTCTCCCAGAATGTGTCCCGTTATGATAGTTTTGGACAATTTCTACCGCTAGTGATGCTGGAATAACTATTCTTCCATCTTCTAACTGATACCATTTGTTCTCCAAATACTTTCCAGGTTCAGTCCTTAACCACTCCTCTTCCTGAGCTGTATAAATTGGAGTCCATTGAGACAGTGGAGTTGGTATAAGAGCAGCTATATGCCCCACATATTCCTGTCTTCCTGATTCAGCAGCACGCTTAGCTGCACTATCTGCCAT